TCTGATCCACAATACAATCAGTGTACTTACTCCCTTGCAACAATACTTTTGTAAATTCCATTGTGATTTTACTGTCCTTCTCTTGAAGCCCAGTAACTCAGGAAAAAAGAAGTTCAACTAAGACTATATTTATTTGATCATAATATGCATGTTTGTGTCGGGAATGAGAATGTATCTTGGTATGGGGATGGCTTATCCCAGTTGCTACTTGCTAGGCAGCAACTGTGGTACAGGTGCCATTGTTTATGTATGTGCTAAAGCAAAAGCATTGGCACCAAGATTTAGACAATAGGCTAAGTGGTTTGCAAGAAAATACGAAGAAAATAGTGAAGCATATTCTTAACCCTAATAAGCCAAATTTTTGTTGGGAATTAGTAGAAGAGGCAAGTCAAACTATTTGGCAACATTCCAACATTCCATGTCACTGCACAGAAAGTTTTACAGCATAGCATTGATGGTGTGTTTACCTTTCGTGAGTTTTTTTTTTTTATTAATGCCAACACTCTTGATGGCATAAAGTCTGATAATGAGTAAGACAAAGTCATTACTAATCCCGTCAGAAATCCACTGAGAAGAAACAGACTCAATTTTAGCTTTAAATTAATCTATTTAAGGCTGGAGATTTGGCTCAGTGGCTCTGCTGACTGCCTTGTAAGTACAAGGGCCTGAGAGTTTGATCCCCGGTACCATCAAAAAACAAACAAACAAACAAAATTAATCGATTTATTGTTCATGTTTTCTTTTTGTTTGCATGAAAGTGATCCATAATACAAACACGGCTCATTCTTTGAATTTTGAACTTGGGTCTTTCCCTGAGCTGGAAATATGTAGTAAGATCCTTTCTTGTGACGCTGAAGCAAATGATCCAAGCACATTTAAAGCAGGCTGGGATACACTTTGCTGTTCAATGAATTTGGCATATTAAAAGCAATTTAGACTCATTTTCAACTTACAATGGGTTTATTAGTACACACTCCCACTGTAAGTCAAAGAGAATCTGTAATAAACAGATATTCCTACTTTGCCAGAACTTCAGTAAAAGTACATTTACTATGCATCACAGACGTAGCTATGGGCTCATGGAGGTACCTGAATACACTCTGATGAAATCAGTGGACATCTATATTGTGTTCACTTGCTTTTTCCTGAGTATGCTGCTCATTACATTCTGTTTTGAAACACTTCAAATGTTCTAATATCTTCTGGTGTTTTAAACTACTGTGTATGCTTATCTATAGAGGATACTGTACTGCACAGTGGAGGCACAAAGATACTGGTGTATACAATTTAATTTCACAAAGCATTTGGAGATACTGTCATTACATAGAACTCATTATTTTGCAAACTAGGAAGTTTATTTGTTAAGTTTAACAAGTATTTATTGATTTTCTAGGCACTAAATATACAGCAGTAAGCAAATTCCTTCTCTGAAAAAGCTTATGTGCATATCATTAGTAGATTAGCAGAACCTAATAGTACTTTCAAATATAGCCAGTGTTTATTGGCATTGGAAATTCTTTTAGACATTAATGGTAATGTTTGTCTCCTGTGGAGGTTTTGTTTGAAAAAAACTGTGAAAGAATGCAGTCGCAGTCTCAGCAATTTTTTTCATAAAAGAAAAATTACAATGATGATTAGATTACTAATGTGACAAAATGATAATGAGATGAGATATGGTAGAAATTGGTCATTTTTTTTCTGTGGAGTGAAAATGAGGAAGAAGCAAGAAAGATCCTCTCATGTCCTTCCTCAGAGGTGCACATAGTTCTTAACTCATTATGGCTCAATAACACTTTTTCCTGTCTGTAAGTCTCAAGGGAAAGTTTCCACTGACACATGTTTCTAAAATGTTATTATTTAGAAATTCAGGATGTGTAAAACTCAGAGACATAGCCATACAAAGATGATCACTCCATTAATTGAGTCATTATTTGTATGTAGAGAAAACACATAAAGTCTATTCATTTCAACTCCTTACATAGACCCAAAGTACCTTCATCTTAGAAAAAGGAGGAACAAATTTCAAAATTTTTAGTTATCTTTCTTAAAGTGAAGTACTTCAATGAAACTCATTACTACTTACCTGTTCATTATCCCTACCTCTGAGAAATTGGAGAACACATGGATGTACTTAGAAGAATTTGTCTGAAGTTCTATTTTAGAGTCTTTGGCCCCAGAATAAAACTGTATAAAAATGCAAAGTTATTACATGATGAATTAATACTCATTAAAATATTCATAGTAAGGTTAGACCTGCACACCTGGGATGTGAGTGTGACTTTGGACATGTGTGGGTTTAATCTAATCACCAGTGGTTTTTGTGCAGAGGACTGCCTTTCAAGCAATGTGGGTTCCTTAACCCTGATGAGAATTCAAGCAGCAATGGAAGGAATAACCAGAAATGAAACCAAATCTGGGTCAAAAATGGTTCTGACATTTCAGTTACAGTACATGTGAACAGTAACATTTGAAACCAGTATATTGCTTTTCCATTTTCCTAAGTATTCTCTTATACTGCACTGTACAATAAAATGAATTTAGTGGTTCATATATCTACTTTAGTAGAAAGGGAGAATCAGTGGTAAAAAGAGAAAAAGAGAGGAGTGAAAAAAGTTAGCAAAATATAATTTTCTAAAAATAGCACAAGATGAACTTTGTAGTATACCTGTAATGTTCATATATGTATGGTTTATTCAGATATACTAGTTATACAGGTATAATAGTTTAGTGGAGCCAATTATATACATGCTATCCCCAAAGAGTAATTAGTGTTGGAAGCTGTTAAGTCTTCACAAATTTTACTGAAATGTAAGATTGGTTCACTTGGTTGGGGTCTCTCAGTGCAATAACACTGCTACTGCTCTTGCTGTTACTATCAACAGTCCTACTGTGGTCAAGGAGAAGGTGACACTTGCTCTTCACTGACATTTAAAGTACAGTAGAAAAAAATGTATATATGTGATTCTTCCCTCCTTCAGTGTAGAGTGACCCTAATTGGTATTATCTGATTCCCTTATCTTCTATTTCTATGTGAAGGAATACACATTTGAACCCTGTAACTGTCACCACAGTGTTAGAATCACCAACCCCATCTGTGCAGGACTGATTACTTTCAAAGTAAATAACCACTCTATATAATGTCACTGAGGCCTTAATGCATTTCTCATTAAATAATGAAGAGAAGGACCAGCTACTGTAAGTGCTTTCACTTAGGGACCTACAACAAAGGGCACAAGTGCACAAGTTAGAAGAAAATTTACTTTAAAGCACGGTGTGAAGCTGGGTGGCTAATAATATAGTTAAATATTTAGTATATAATCTTCGACACTACTTTATAGATGTCTGCGCCTAGTGGAAGTCTACTTGCAAATTCAAGTAGTTTATTTCTGTTGCAAATATTTGCAAAGGTAAAAGGTAATTTAATTTATCTTCACATTTCACAACGTAACTGAGAACATCTCCTAGATAACTAAGTAAAAGACATGTCCACGGGTTACCTCAAATGCTCCATTTGAATAGAATGCATTTCCCCCTAAGAGGATAAAGTGTTCATGCAAACCTTTTAGACGAAATTTTCTTCATTGTTTGCTCCCAGGGGAAAGTTTAAAAGGAATGAGTACTACTACAAGTACTTCTAACAGTGCTCAGGAGAAGTTCAGAACACTTCCTGCAATGTACACTGTTTTACCTTAAACCTGCACAGTTGTACATTTTAGTAAGATTTAGAAGCTAGTACCATACTGTATTTGGTCTCTAACCTTCACCCGTTTTTCACCTTACCAGCCCATGAGACTCAGGAAAACACTGGTGTGTAATCAACAGGGCAGGAGAGAAGAACTAAGATATCCACTGTACGAACTGTTAAAGGAACTAAAACACAGGCCCTTCTACAATGTTACCCGCTCTCATGTCCTCCCGCACCGTTTGCTCTGGGTTTAATTTAAGACACTTCAGGGCAGTGCACCCTGGGTCAGTGACCACGTGCTAAGGTCACTGTTTCAGCCTTTCCTCCTGTGCGCCGACAATGCACCTGGCACACAGGCACACTGCTGTGCTCACTCGGCGCCTAACAGTTTTCATTTTCGTCCTCTCATAGGAATTTAACACCTCCGGAACAAATAGAAACTATTCTCAGCTGCATTTATACATTCCCCAAATAAGTTTCCAGCGGGTGGACCGCAGCGATTACACTGTGGGCCACTCTGCGGCTGTCCAAGCAGCGGCTCCGGATCTGCGAAGCGCACAGGGGAGCTCCGCCCGGCTCCTGTGGCCATCGTCAGAGAATTCAGAACCCTGCAGATATTCCTGCAAACAAGGGCAGGCGACGGCTAAGCCAAATCAAGTTCCATACCACCCCTGTCCCTTTCCAGGTCTTCCCTCGGGAGCGGTCGGTGGGGCGGGGGGTTCACTAAATATGCGCCTCCACCCTCAGCCCCTCTAGCTTCCCGGCTCATGAGCTCGGCAGCCCGGCTCCTACCTGTTGCCCTGGCTACCCTCAAATCCTCCAGCCAGCCAGGGGACCAACACAATCGGGAAAGCCCAGGGGAAGAATCCACATCCCGCAGAAGGCACAGCGAAGTCCTCGCCGGATACTCAAAACCTGGGAACCGATGTCTGCAGTGCAACAAGTGACCTTCACAGGCGCCCGTCCTGAGGGTCCACACCCGCGTCCCTGTCGCCCCTGTGTAGAGTACAGCAGGCTGGACTAACGCGCCGTGACACTAATGATTCAGACCCCAGCGGGAGCAAAATGGTGGCTGTGATTATCTCCGTGCCCCTAACCCTTGAGAGAACTCAGTCCCCCGAGCGCGCCCCCTTCCCCAGGATTCCGGCGGTCTGAGCCGGCCCTTCCCTCCCTCCTCTTCCTCCTGGCTTCCTGGGGGTGCGGGAGGACGCCAAGAGCCCGTGTGAAGCCTTGATCACCTTTTTCTCCTCTTGCACTTCCTGGATTTGGGTCCTGAACCTTAGGTACCCCTGCAAAGGGGATCAATGACCCCTACCGTTTGCCGTAGCTGCCGCGAAGCCCGAAACACCACACGCGCAGTTAGCCGCTCTGAGAGCTCTTGTGCGGACAGGTTGCAGCCCAAAGTTGGCCTTCGGGCTCCCCCGGGGCTCCGGTGCGTGGGCGCCGGCCTCGCGCCCAGAACG